AAACTTACTGGAAATTATCGACTTGAAGAAAAGGTAAGATATATATTTTTTAAACTTTTGAATGATATAAACATTAATTTTATCGTGACGTACTTATTGGAATCACTATATTAGGAATCAGATGCAGGAAATGTTTCTCAACCACATATATCGTGTATATATAGAGGTTGGTTAGCATGCCAATTATTTAAAAAGGATGGTACAAATATAGGTTTGTATTATTTTATTAAGTAAAAATGATTATTGGTTTATCATTTTGTAATTCAAATTTCGTATATTATAGGTCTACTTGAATTTGCAGTTAGTCAAGCAAAGAAAATTAATGACCCATTACTAAAAAACGCATTTTTATATCTAATATGGCATAAAATATGCCAGGAACAAGCAAGTTCAATAATGACATTGATTGAGAAAGCACGTAAAGCACCCAAAGATCAGTTATGCGTTAAAAATTGTGGGATCTCGCGTAAGCATTTAATCATGAAGTACTTGTAATTTATAATAAATTTATCAAATGTTAATCTTCATATTATAATTTAATAGATGAAACGATAGAGTTATTTCTATCATGTGTAAAAATTTTATTTGAATCGTTCGTATGGGAACCGAATAAGCCACTATATATTAATAATATTTTAGAAGCTGTTGAACCTATTCTTGAACTACCGTCAGATGTTAATCAAGATAAGAATCAATACTTGAATGATGCATTTGGAACGATGATTAAAGAATTTGTGATAATAAAGAATTCGGCGAATAATAAAATACTTTCCAGGTATGATATATACATCTATACTTTTTTTTATTATAACCTTCTGTTTTGAAATTGCCTAATATATTTTAATTTCGTAGGAATCTGGTGGATCAGCATTTAATATTAATTCAAGTTCTATTACTGATATTTAAAATTGAAGTTCGAATGGTCAGACCATCAAAATTGTTTGACCCAGATGTATCGTTTTTCTCTCATTTATTTATGGAAATAAATGATGTAAAAACGAAAGCTTCTAATCAAAGGTACTATTTAAAATTTCGAGTCTCATTAAATGTTTTGTTCGTTTAGCAAACATTTGTATAACAAGGTTATTTCATTATTCATTATTTCTTTTAAATAGAATAATGGAAGAGCAAATGTCATTCATAAAGAAATTAATCGAAAAGTCATCAAATTGTTATTCAGATATTTTATTATTGGCAGATAAATTTGGACTGAATCAGAATGAGATAAAAGAATTTTGGCAAAATAAATATGGTATGGTTAATATTTAATATTTAATTCTGAAAATGTTGTAGGTGAGTTCAAATGTTTGGACACGAAAGGGATTAATTTTTAATGTAAAAAATATGTTGCTTTTGTATTTAATATTTTCTGCTTTTGTAATAATTAATGCTATTAGTATATAAATTTAAATATTTTATGTTTGCTGTGTATAATGTGCATGTTTACAGTATATGAAAATGGTTTACACCCAACTGTGGATGTAATAGAAATCTGGGCTAGGCAATAAATTCCGTCATATAGCATTTCATTATACCAATATAACCGAATAGGCAACTTGGCAAAAAAAAATTCCGTTATAAAGTTATAATCGCAAACCTTTCTACATTAAAACCTCCGTAAGTGCATGCTCTTGAGACCTAACTTTAATGACATGCACTTAGAGAGCAACGTGCTTTTATGGAGGTTATTATATATGTGGCCCGAATTCAAGCGTGCATTTAAGGATAGTATGCATTTCTAGAAGTTTCACTGTATATAGAGGACGTTAAACTGCAAGTCTCGTTAAGTAAACATGTTCGCTACGTTTGCTTAAAAGAATGACAACCTTTCATTAGATTTAATAATAGTTTAATAAGCGTCTCTAATTATCACAAAAATTTAGTAGTGTGTGATCTATTATGTTTCAATTTATTTGAGGGTAGCAAAAGAAAGCCTTTCAAACTTTACGAAAATTTTGAATATCGGTTCCCGGTTTAACTGATTATTTTGATTTTGGTTC